GAGCGCCCCGGCGTGGGAGCCGCGTTCCAACGACACGCGGGAGAAGGCGGGCCCACCAGCCGCTGGGGGAGGTGAGACCTCGTGGACCGCGCCCGACGGCGAGCAGGCGGTGCTGGGCCGTGGGGCTGGGCCAGAAGACGTGCTGGAGGCGTCGGCAGCGGTAACGGGCACTGCCTGGCTGGATGCTGACAGCCCAGGCCTGGGCGGAGTGACTGTAGAGGCCGGTAGCGGAGACACCCAGGCCCTTCCAGCCACTCTCTCTGCTCCTGCCGAGGCTCTCGAGACGTCATCAATGCCCCGCGCCGTCCCTGACGCTACAGAGGCCAGCGGACCACCCTCCCCCACCCCTGGCCACAAGCTGAACCCAGTCTCAGAACTCCCCAAGGAAAATCCCTTGGAGGTTTGGCTGAACCTGGGAGGCAGCACACCTGACACTCATGAGCCAGAGCCCACGTACCCCTTTCAAGGCACACTGGAGCCCCAGCCGGCGTCAGACATCATTGACATCGACTACTTCGAAGGATTGGATGGTGAGGGCCGTGGCGCTGATCTAGGGAGCTTCCCGGAGTCGCCAGGAACTTCAGAGCACCACCCTGATAGTGAAGGGGAGACCCCTTCCTGGAGCCTGCTTGACTTATACGATGACTTCACCCCCTTTGACGAATCTGACTTCTACCCCACCACCTCCTTCTACGACGACTTAGACGAAGAGGAGGAAGAAGAGGAGGATGACAGAGATGCGGCTGGAGGTGGAGACCTGGAAGATGAAAATGACCTTCTAGTGCCCACTGAGAAGCCTGGTCTGGGGGCTGGGACAGGCCAGCCCACCAGTCGGTGGTATGCTGTCCCTCCACAGCATACTCTGGGGATGGTCCCCGGCAGCAGCATTGCCCTCAGGCCTGGCCCAGGAGAGCCAGGCAGGGACCTGGCCCCAAGTGAGAATGGCACTGAGTGCCGCAGTGGCTTTGTGCGGCATAATGGCTCTTGCCGGTCAGTGTGCGACCTCTTCCCAAGTTACTGTCACAATGGCGGCCAGTGCTACCTGGTGGAGAACATAGGGGCCTTCTGCAGGTAAGAGTGTGGCACACAGGTGCACAGGGACTTGTAAAAGAACTCCTGACAAGTGTGAGGCAGACTTGGCAAAGTGGGGGTGTGACAGGCACAACTTCTGAGAGGTTGTGCATCCGTGGGATTCCCAGGTCAGGAGATGCTTGCCTGGGCATCTCGTACAGAACTACTTGTTCACTGCCCTGCCTGTGATCTCATCACTAGGAGACGTTCCTCAGAAATAAGATGCTGTGTTCCTCTAAGTGTTGTGTCTTTTACCCAACCACTAAACTATAAAGGCAAAATAAGGGTTTAGGAAACAGGTCTTTGCTGGCTTGAGGGGTTTTCATTGAGGAGTTCTGTCTACACTGGCAGAAAGAGTAGGCCCATAAACCTGCTTGGCGGGAAAGATCGCTGCCGAGCACTCCCTGTGGGCCACGTGTGTGGTAGGAGGAGGGCCCGTCTCCCTGCGGGCGTAAGTGGGGGGCGGGCATGTCAAGTTAGAGCAAGGGCCTCCTCTGTGGGAGCAGACCCAGAGAGCAGCCACTCGGGCCATGTCGAGTGCAGTCTTTCTTGGCATAGCAGACGTAGTGGGGTGTCTTACCTTTGGGTCGTGCTGTTTTCCCTTCCACCTTGATTTTTGTTTTCCTTGGAATACCCAGTCCAGGATGTTTGAAAGACTCAGAGAGTTCAGTGTCCCTAATGACATTGTCTGCAGCCTCCATCCCATGCCTCATCAGTAATTACCCTATATACCTGTCCTCACGGCGAGGTCATTAACCTGCTGGAGAGCCCCCTGGCTTATTCTGGAAGAATTGCAAGTCAGGGGCGGTCTGGGTGGTTTGCTTGTCCCCATCCTTACAGGCCCTGGAAGTGGAGTAGCACCCTCAGATTGCTCTGGGACTTGTTTCCTTTGGTCCTAGGAGGGGCATTTCTGTAATCTGGGTGTCTTTTTTGAGTGTCACTCCCAATGTGTCTTTTCCTTGGCCTTTCTGGAGGTGTGTGAAGAATTCAAATTCTGAAGCTCTTGATGTTCCGATAAAAAATAACATAGAAAGCGTGAATGTTGTGCCTTTGTCATCAAAGCTTGAGTTCCAGTCCCTTCCTGTGAAGTCGTTTCCTGTAAATGATCCTGACATTAGAGTCACTCATATAGGATGTGTCCACACAGTTCTGATTGGAGTTCTTGAGCCATTGCCAAAAGGAGGCATGTAATCAAGAAATTATGGCAGTAAGACCTTGCTGGTTGGTTAAAGACTACCAGAAATATGGGGGCAGCCTGTGCTTTTGTTCCTCGGACTTTAGTTGGGGGGCACTGTAGTGCTGAATTTAGCATGGAAGCTGTGGAATCTCTGTGCAAAACCATCTCTGTCATTCCACTGGAGGTCTGAGTTTTCACCTTCAAAGTAAGCTCCCATCAGAGTATGAAATTTGGAGCCCTTGATGCTCCTGGAGAGCTAGGAAAGCTCCCCAGACCTGCTGGCGCTCTCAGGGGGTTACCGAGTGGAAGAATAAGCCTGTCCTCACTGAGCCGCATGCCTGTGCGACCATGGATCCACCGTGGATCCTGCCTCAGCAGGGCTTCTGCACAGGTCCACCCCAGGTCCCCTTGCTCAGCATCCTTCCCAGGACCACACGTGGGCCTCCTTACCAGAGATCCCTCCAGCTGTGTACACCCAGGCCGGCTCTGGCTCGGAAACTGCTTTGCATTCCACTCACAGGAGACTGCTGAGCCCTTAGTTGCAGACTGCAGTGTGCCTTTGTCTCTGTCACCCTGACCCACTGCAGAGAAACGATCAGAGCTATGGCAGAACTTCTCGGGAATAGTGGGTTAGAGGGATCGGCCCTCCCCGCCATCCTCATGCAGATAGCCTCCCCATGACTGCAGAGGGTCATTTGGAAAAGAAAGAATTCCCTGTTAGCCATGTCTCCCCACCCCGTTCTGGGTGTGGAGTAGCCAATTCTCCTTTCTCTTGTCTGTTATTCACCCTGAGGTTCATGTCCTCCCTCCTTTGCCTGCCTCTGTATCCTTCCACATCTTTCTTCTTTGAAGCAGCCTGGTTCCCATGGAAACAGCAATGTCATTGGAAGAGTTGGAGCCTGGGAATGTCCCCAAGGGCAGGAGAAAGTCACTCAACAAAAGGACTAAAACCCACCCGGAGGGTTGATTCTCACTAGGCTTTCATGACAGTTCTCATGGTGATAGGACAGGAAGCTATAGGGGCAGAACTTTGGAGGCTGCAGAGGTAGGAGTGGAACATACATCCATCTTTGTGCTTGTCCTTGCCTGTCACTCCCCTCTTTTTCAGTGTCTGGTTAGCCACGCGCACTAGATGGGTCTGCCGAGCAACAAGATAGGTTTCCGTGGTAGGGTGGATCCTCCTGTTCATCTTTCTTTCATCCAGAGCCCCAGGTTGGCGGCTGAGAGAATCCCGTGATTGTTCTCATTGAAGCTGTGAGGTGAAAAACCAGGGTTCCCTCCTCCATCATTTCACAGCCACACGAGTGACCAGTTCTCTCCGTTTCTCAGCTCCCATGACGTACTTTTATGTCATGAATCTCAGAGCTGCCTGGCTCACTGCATAGGGGGTTTGTAAAGACGGGGCAAGAAGATCAGCTGTAAGGCCTGCACAGGGTGGAGGCATCACAGCCCCTCTAGACGGTCCTGGGAACAGGATTGGAGCGAAGTACTGGAGTCGGGGACCGGGCCGTGGCTGTGGCCAGGGCGGCCTGCCTGTCGCCGCGGTCTCACGCTGTCGCTGCTGCAGGTGCAACACGCAGGACTACATGTGGCACAAGGGGATGCGCTGCGAGTCCATCATCACCGACTTCCAGGTGATGTGCGTCGCCGTCGGCTCCGCCGCCCTTGTGCTGCTCCTGCTCTTCATGATGACCGTGTTCTTCGCCAAGAAGCTCTACCTGCTCAAGACGGAGAACAGCAAGCTGCGTAGGACCAAGTGAGTCTGCATCAGCCAGCCCACCCCCAGCCCTGCGGCAGCACCCCTCCATCCCGGGTTGTGTTTTTCACACCGAGGAGTCACGCGAGGGTATCCATTCCTGCACAGAACGTGCTGGACCTGCAGCAGAGGCTAAGCCCCTGTGGCATGCCGCAGCTATCTGGCACCATTTCCCCACAGCCGCACCCGGGCTGGAGGGTGCTTAAAGAAAAAGCATCCAGCATATATATGTAGCAACTCCCAGCTCCAGTCCCCAAGTAAGTCCCTGTGCTTGGTCCCCCGCCCCCGCCTGACTATACCTGTGTCATCCTGGGTCTTTGACAGCCAGGGGCCAGTATGAGGATTCCACTCACAAATCAGCACGAAGTAACCCCAGCTCCCTCAAATCTCGAGGGAGCTCAATACCAGCTCCTCCCCAGCAAGCGCTGAGGAGAAGGGTTAGCACTGCTCTGCTGCATTGCTTTTCAAAGCTTGTCAACCCTGGGTTCACACAGAATGCAGGGAGCTTAAGGAAATCCTGTTTACCTCTCCTAAGTGGAATTTGGGGGGTGAAGGGTGCTCGGTCTGAATTCCTCTGCTGTGGATTTTAAGGGCCACATGGGGATAGAGAGTCTCATTTCAGCTCTGCTCTTAGCAGAGGAGCGACTGCTGCCTGGGTGTGAAAATCAACATGCATTTACTCTTTAAGTCCATGCCTTGAATGCTCAATCGTGACCTTACACACTGTGAGAGAATCACTCTTCTCATTAAGTAGAGAACCTTCGGAAGTGTCACAAGAGTCACAAAAGGCAGAGATTGGAGTTCAGCTTCCTTGGGGCCCAAAAGACAATTTACGCAGAACTGCACCCACCACCCTTTCAACTTGTCGCCTTATGAATCCCCTCCCCCTGACCTGAGACTCCCTCCAGAGAATGTGACCGAGGGCCTTTCCCTGGGTCCTGGGAAAAGGACAAAACGCCAGCTGTTGCTCCTTTGCTGGGTAAACTCATGCAACGCACGGATGCCTGCAGCTCTGCAGCCTTTCAGCTAACCGTCATGGGGCTGAGGGGGCCTCTCCATTGTGCCTGTGCATTGAGGCAGGGCCGTATCTGTGCACGTGATCACAAGCCAGGACCCTTGGCTCCTCATGGCTACACCAAGGGGGTGTGTGGCAAAAGAGAGGGGAGAGGAGATGGGACCACCTATCAGGACAGCAGCTGATGAGGATGGAGAGAAAAAGGAGCAACTAACTGCCCGGGGAGAGGAGAAGCAGGAGCCGTGGCGAGGGACGGGGCCTTCCTGTGCGTTTTGCGCAGAGGACGGCTCGCGAACCCCTGCAGCTCAAATGCTGCCTCCCCGTTTCCCTCTGCAAACCTCTTTCCCAAGCCTGGTTTTGGCTCCGATCATGTCGCATGTGCTCCATGCACTACAGATACCACAGTAGTTTATTTAGTCTAAGATGCACATTTTTTTTTTCACATATTAACATCTCTGAAATTGGATTGTGTCTTACAATCGCTGGCATCTGATAATCGCTGTTGGCCAGATGGCATTCATGATGTGGTTGTAATTGCCTGGCGTGGTCATAGCTGTTCATATCGTTGTCAGTTCTTTATCCAAAGTCTAAATGAGCTACTTCAAGGATATAACAAAAACTCTGGGTGATAGGGAAGTACTGGATCGTGATTTAAATGGTAGTTTTTTCTTAGTGATACGTCATATAATGGTGCATCTTATCACAGTTCACGGCATTTGATGAAATAGAGTATTTGACCCACGAAGCTTTCGTCAGAGTTGGCCATGATCATTTCACTTACGTTTTTCCCTTTTCTCTCCCACCCAGCAAATTCCGGACCCCATCTGAGCTCCACAACGATAACTTCTCCCTCTCCACCATCGCCGAGGGCTCTCACCTAAATGTAAGGAAACTTTGAGACACTTCTGTACCCCCACCCACCCATGCCCGTGCCTTGGCTCACGATGATGACGTCATCTGTCAGGTCACTCGTGTCTTCTCCACGCCTCCCCTGTGCATGGCGAAGCCCCCGGCCGTGCCGTTGGTCCGTTTTGGAGTGCGGAGCCACCCCTCGGAGCCCTGGAGATCAGCTCAGGGCAGCCGGTCAGGGCGGCGAAGGTAGAAATCAGGGCTTGATGGCGTAGGTTGTACAGAAAGGTTTTTTTTAGGATGACTCGAGATATTGAGCTTCATCTAGACTTTTGCAGTCTGATTTTTATCTTTCTACTTTCTATGTGAAGGAGAAAGACTGCTTTTATGGCTGTGGAACTTCCTGGCAGCCATCGAAGTAAGAGGTGGTCGTTCTTTGGGAATGAGTGGAAAAACCTCTGGGATGGCTGGAAAAACAGTGTCCCTGACATTGTCCGAGGCCCCGAAAAACTAACAGGCTTATGTCCACTGATTATGGCTGAGGAGAGCACAGAACACTGAGGGAACCGTAAGTCTGGGGGTAAATTCTATTCTTAGGAGGATGGGCTCATAAATATCACTTGAAACCCAATAAAAGGACCCAACAGACCATTTTCTTAAGGCCCTGGCCTAGTGCGTTGTCTGGACCAGACTAACCAGTAAGATACTGGGTATCGTCAGAGGAATTTCAGAAACAAAGCAGAAACCATCCAAGTCCCAAATCGTGTCACATCCAAACCCAAGAATTCTGCATGTAGCGCAGGCTCCGTACCCCAAGGTAAATGCATCGTTACACACATAAACTGAGACTGTGCAGGGGGAAACAGTGTAGTGTAAGAGGAAATTCGAAGACGTTCTTTGCCATAATGGACCATAGAGTATCAGAGCTCACGGGAGCCATAATGGTGTAGGCCAGTGCCATCCAGTTTCTGGGCGGTAGAATGTTCTGTAGCTGCATTGTGCCTACAGCAGCCAGGAGCTACCTGTAGGTGCTGCCGTATCAGACGGCACAGATCAAGACCATTGTCTCCTTTTTATAGGTGGGGGAAGAGTAGCCCCCGAAGGGGAGAGAGAGAATAAAGGTAAATGAGACCTTGGTCCCCAAACTCAGAAAAGGAAAAACTCAGCCTAGTAGAGGGACGAGCAAAGGGGTTAATTTAAATAAGAGATGAAAGAGGTTAATTCAAGATAGTTTTTTAAAGTCTCCGATATAAAAGGTAGAGAAAGAACAGATATTATTTTACTTGGTATGCACCAAAATAGTAATAAGTTCAAAATGGGCACACTAACCCAGGAAACAAGATGTCCTATGAACTCTGAGGCTCATCACCACAAGACACAGGTGGCGTGAGGGCAGGCAGGGTCTCGCCCATGTTGGGACACTGTCCCTGCCTTTCCCAGCCCCTGTCAGTGACACTTGGTTGTCGTTTAAGGAACACTAGTGAGTGGCCGACTGCAGGGTCTCAGTTCCACCGTCTGATCTGCCATCCCGTCTGTGTGGGGCTGCAGGTCTGACTCGTGTGGTGGCTCCTGCAGTCAGGGTCCTCGCTGTCCATGGAGGATGGGGGCCCTGGGGAGAGTTTCCAGCTTGTGCATTTCCTGTACCCCAGGAACAGACGCCTTTCCTCTTCGCGAGGAGGGAGGGGGAGGACGTAGCTTCTCCGGGAGGCCTTGGGCGCGTGGGCCAGTGCAAGAATTTCCACTTCTTGGCTGACCCAGCTTAGAGGAAAGCAGGGCATCCGTCCGTGAAGGCCAACACTGACCGCGAGTTCAGACTATGGCAAGCAGAAAACAGAGTGGAACAAGGGTGGCCAGCCGCGGGGCACCGTGCCTGAGAAGGGCCGTGAGTGGTCTGGGCAGCACTCAGGGCATCATGCAGGGCAGTGCAAGATGAGGCTCTGGTGGCCTCTGGCTCCTCTTGGTCTTGAGGGTCATTTCCGCCTGGCATCGTTCCCTTGGCTTGTGCCCCAGGGGACATTCTGTCCCCTCTGCCCAAGCTCTGAGCGTGTGAGGGGATGACTTTCCTGTCCGGCAGGGAATGTACTAGCAGATTTTCTACCTTCATTCCTAATTCTCTCCACCTAGCCCAAGTCAGACACGATCACGTTCAAGGTCTGTGGGCACTGACGGTTAAGACAGTTGCCACTTTATCATGAAGTGAAGCCCTGTTCATTGCTTCAGGCACCACACTGATTGCTTGAAAGTGAGGCTGGCAGCCGGATGAAGGTGAGAAAGCCTCCAGGTTAGCCGGGAGGTGGACCGAGGGGCACCCAAATCAAACCTGCCCATGTAGTCTCTCCCCATCCCTTCCCCTCAAATTTCCTTTTTGGTATTGCTGTCTCCTAAAATTTTGGAGAGTTCTATTTATCTTAATAGAGGGGTGATTTCTTTCACATAAGTAAAGTAGACTGAGTGGGTCATTTTCCTGCCCGGTCCCAGTCATCTCTGAAAAGCCACTCTCTGAAAAGCTTTCCAACCAGAAACGAGCTTTGGGCCTGCGGTGGGGGAAGGCTAAGTCGCGGGGATCTGCTGTGTCCACGGCACTTCCCTTGCCCCTGCTGCTCGCCGGTGCCCTCCCGGGCTGCCAGGCGGCCCTGCAGCTGGGGAGCCGGTGGCCGCGTGAGTGGGAGCCCTTTGTGTAGCTGAGCTGCCAGCCCCGGAAGCATCCGGGGGAAAAGGGGTCCCAGGGGGGATGGCGAGTGTGTAGGAAGCTAGACACTGTCCAGGTGCACAGCGTGAATGAAGTCACCTGGAGTCCTCGGGCAAACTGCTGGGTCTCGCAGCTGTCTGCGGAACGTCGTGGCTATGACTCGGTCCTCCTAGACTTGACAGACCTTCCGAGATTTCAGTTTGCTGCTGGGACTTGTCCATGGCGTCCCTTAGAGCAACCCCCCCGCCCCCTGTTTAAATCTTTCTAACTTCTCAGACTCCGCTTTTCCATGGCTTTGGTAAAGCTCTGTGAGCCGCCTCTCCTGATCGAGGTGTGTGTTTGGACAAGGAGGGTCCAGGCCTGAGCCCACACAGTACTGCTGGGCTGGAGGCAGTGTGCCAGGAGTAGGGGCACGCAGCACTTCCCAGGACTTATGCCAGATGGAGGTCCTGCTCGCTCGTGATGATGGCAGGCAGGCCTTCTGCTGAGGGAGTCTGCAGCCCTGGGCACAATAGGGTCGTGCTCTGGGGGACACACCTGGTCAGCAGAGCCCCATCTGGGTTCGGACCCTCGCTCACCTGTTCCGTGTGTGGGCAGTACTAGCTTGTCTGACAGCGTTATTTGATACCCGTGCTCCTTATTTTTAGAATGCAGTTCGCCCACCTAGAATGCAGTTCGCCCACCCGTTGGCCCAGAAGGCAGTTTCCTCATCTATCCAAATGCCCTGAGCCCTCAAGGGGCCGGGTTTAATCTGGGCGCCCACATACACGGCGTCAAAACTCCTGACGCCCAGGTCTGTAAGGACTCCCTAATCCACTTCCCTTCACATCATGAGAATGTCCCTGTGCCCCCACAGGCCCCGAAGAGTGTACGATGTGCTGGGGAGAGCCGCAGGCGGAGATTATCTTGAGTGTTATCCTCGTAAGTGAGTCTTCTCCTCATAAGAGGAAAGGCGCGCGTAGGCCATCCTGTCTTTGACATCCACAGCGCTTTCTCCAGGGTCTGCAATGGCCCAGCCCTCGAGCGTCCATGCCCAGCGCCCGATCCTTCAAAGCATGCTGATTACCTCGAATTTTGGAAGGGGTTAAAATAAGGATCTGAGCTGGCTGGTCAGATAGGGACATTCTCTGCCCTTCTTGCCAGCCATGGACCTGCCTGGGTGGTTACACAGCCTCTTTGATCAGCAGAGTTCCAGTAGCCATTTGGGGCATCCGAGAAGGAATTGAGGCCCACTGGATTGCACTGGGCGTGACCCCCGTGGGGGCCTCAGAAGAAAGAGCCGTGGGAAGGCTGGAGTTGCCACAGGTGTTCTCTGAGCTCCCAAAATGCAGGATTGGAGGACTCTGTGCTGGTGTAGGTGTCCTGAAAACCTGTAACATGCAAATGCAGTTCAGGTTTGGCAGCCGTCAGAGGGCTACTGGCAGCATACATGGGTAGGCGGGAGGGCACGGTAGAGGTCAGACGTGGGGGTGAGCCAGCGGCACAAATAGCATCTGTTGTAGAGAATGGCAGATCATCGGGGCCTTGGACTCATTCGGGCTCACACTGAGGAAACACCTTGTAAGTCAGCGTCTTTGTCGTAGATCAACTTCTGAGGGTAAGAGGCTCGCACGCCTCTGGGCTCCCGTCAGGACGTGTACTTGCCGTGGGGAGAGGGACCCGAGCTTTGCCAGGAGAAGCTCTGTGCCTGACTGTGGCCCCGTACGCACCCCACTGTCTGCCTGGCCAGCCTTGTTCCTTGACCACGACCTTTCTGTGAGAACAGAACTCACACACGGAGGGCCGTGGGAGGGGGCGCCAGGCCGGCCAATAGGAGTCCCAGCAGGTGAGACTGTAGAGGGACCAGGCCAAGCATTAAAAGGGGCTGTTTCTCCCCAATCTCTGTCAAGGAGAAAAGTCGTGATCCAGTCACCTGTCCAGTTTTCATGTCTCTGGCCAGCGTTTTTGAGGATGACTTTCCTGAAAAGTAGCTGCTAGTGAGTCGCTGTGGTTCCTTCAGGTCTCGGAGTTTCCGTCCTTTTTTTCAGTTCTGCTTCTTTCAGCCAGACAGAAAAGCCCAAGCCCATCGTCTCCTTCCTGTCCACTCCCCTCACCCTTTTTCCTCTTCCAGGATGATCCTGGTGCTCCCCACAAAATCCAGGAAGTCCTCAAGTCCTGCCTGAAAGAGGAGGAGTCATTTAACATCCAGAACTCCATGTCGCCCAAACTGGAGGGTGGCAAAGGCGACCAGGCAGACTTGGAGGTGAACTGTCTTCAGAACAACTTGACCTAAAGCAGAGCAAGGAGATAGGCACTGAACTGGGGGGTGGGGGGTGGGGGGGGGAGAAGCGTGGCCCCTCTTGTACAGAGTCTATTTCTTGTAACCATTTGTTAAACTCTTTTCTTTTTCTGATCTCATGGCATGCTTTAACGTATTTTGTACAGGAGGGTGAAAAACAAAAAAACAAAATAAGCAAAGAACTTGAACAGAATTGCATACGTGGGGTTGTTCGTCTGTGCTGTCTGTACATTGCTTCTGCTGCTGCGATTTCTAAACCTATACTGTTATTCAACTGACTTTTTTTTTTTGTACTTTGATCCACCTTTTTTTGAAATACCAGTAAAAAAACAAAGTTCTTGAAATAAAACTTTTTAAAAAGCCATTTTCCTAATGTCATTGTGTCCACTCCCTACCCATTCTTACAGTTTAAGTTGAATTCTTACTTTCATTGAAGATGTTTATTTATACATGTTTGAAACTCCTGTGTATTTGTCAGGTCGGGCTCCCATAACAAAGTGCCACAGACTAGGTGGCTTGAACAATAGAAATTTTAAAAACAATTCTGGAGGCTGGAAGTCCAAGATTAGGGTGCCAACAGAGTTTGTTTCTGACAAGGCCTGTCTTTTTGTCTTGCTAATGCTGTATGGCCTTCACGCTGTGTCCTCACATGGCCTTTTCCCTGGGCGTATTGGGAGAGAGGGAGCGGGAAGAGAGAGAGAAAGAGAGAGAGAGAGAGGGATCTGGTCTTTTTCCTCTTCTGATATCAGGCTAGGGCCCCACCCTGATGACCCCATTTAACCTTATAGGTCCTACCTCCAACACGGTCACATCAGGAGTTAGGGCTTTAACATACAACTTTTGGAGGGAGAGGGGACACCATTCAATCCATACCAGTCTGCAGCAGCTACTATTAAGAATACTCTTTTCTTCTTTCATAGATATTTATTCAGTCCTTACTCAGCCGGGTGCTATGCTGGGCGCCGGGAACTCTAGTTGAGTAAGATGGACCCTAACGTCAACAAGTTTACCAGTGTACTTGAGAAACACACTTGTAAACAATACAGTACATGGGTCCTTATTGTAGTAGAGGTATATACAAAGCTGTGAGAGTTGGAGTTATGAGTTCAGGAAAGCTCAAGAACAGAGGTTTAAATTGGACTTTGAAGGATGAAGAGGCTTTTCAGGATGATACAGAAGAGGACATTCAAGGCAGAGGGAAGTCATGCTATGTGACTAGAGATTGTGAGATGGAAGGGTCCTAGGTGATGAGGTTGGAAAGGGCAATTTAGGACAGAGTGTGAAGGGCCTTGTACGCCATTAAACACAGGGCTGAGGCAAGGTCGGGTTTATTTTCTGAGATACCTGTGGAGACAGTGGCGAAGGCAGAATGGGGATTATAGCAACCCAGGCAATCAGCGAGGATGTATTAGAAAGAGAGTTAAGAGTTCGAATAGCCGGAATTACTACTGAGGGAGTTTTCTAGAACTTTGCCTGTGTACCATGTGTGATAATTCCAATAGCTGGAATCCCTTTGAGTGTGTTTCTCTTTCCCAATTTCTGCTGGTTCTCCCTGATTTGTCTTTTCATGTGCCTTATTATTTTTTATTTTGTGCTGGACATTGTATTTGAAAAATTAATTGTTCATTGAAATGTTCCGAGGTCTAGAATAATTTCTTCTCTTAGGGAGGGTTTTTGTTTGCTCCTGTCAGGTGCCCAGGGGCACTAGAATTCTGGGATCACATTACTCCAGCTGCAAGGTTGGATATTTCCCAGACGACAGCGCTATCAGACTGTGCAATGGCTGGTTTGCTTTTGGTTCATCCTTACCCTTGGGACACAATCCCTGGGTTCACAGCCCAAGACAGGCAGTGGTTTATCAGTCCCCCACCTTTGGTAGGTCCTGTACTCCAGCTCCCCCACCCCCTGCAAACTTTCAGAAACACAACTCATCCTTAGTCACCTCTTCCAAGTAGACAGGTGCCTCCAGGGAAGAAGTGGCCTGAATGCCACAAGTGGGCTCACCTGTCTGGATGCCTGTCCTCTCTGGGATGTCAGCCTAGTCACTCTTTAGTATCTTGTTAGCTCTTTGATGCTTCTCAGATGTTTGCATAACTTTTTGGTTGTCCTTAGTGGAAGGATTGATCCAGTTTACCTAGACTCCCATTTACAGACAACAGAGGTCCTCTGTTTTCATCTTGGGACTCTTGCCCAGATGGCATTCAGCTGATGCCGTGAACTCAGTCTGCTCTTTGCTATTGGATAGGGCTGCCTATTGGGATGTTGGGTTATGGCCTGTGCGCATTATGGATTCCCAACCTAACCCTTATCCACTTTGGGGGATTGGCATGGTTCTGCTTAGGACTTCCTATACTCGTGAATTAAGGGACAGACCTGTCTTTCATGGATAGGTACCTCTGGCTCCTTTCATAAGGAGGCCCAGTCAAGAGGGATTGTATGTGAAGCACTTTGTAAGTTCTAAATCCCATCCAGACATAAGGGTTTGTTAGTATTGTGTTTTGTTTTTCCCACAAGAGTATTATGCAATGCAGATCAAAGCCCTTGGCTCTGTTCCACCTCACAGCACATGCAGGAGGGATGGGAAAACCCAGATCGGAAGGGGAGCAGGAGGCAGTGCAGGCCTAATGAATAGAGTTACCAGATGCTGCCAAGAGTCTTTGACCCAGAGGAGGAGCTGACGTGTTGGAATAGGATATATTGATGTCTGTCTGCGCCAGCCCTCCTTCCTGCCCGAGTTTTTGTGCTTCTTGGTGATTGTGCTCCACAGGGCCAGCCAGCCTCCTCTCTGGGGACCTCCAGCTCTGCTGTTAGCTCCCTCATCACATCCTCACCGGAGCCTGGAAACTGGGTCTTAGGACTGGAAAGCACCAATGACAATATTAGAACCCAGACCTCGGACTTCTATTTCCGTGTCCTTTCCTCTGTGTGACATCACACCGTGGACACTTTACAGTTCCTTGTCCTTCCTCATATAGTTTATAGGAATGAGGAGGTTAGCCTGTACGCTGAAAAGCAGCACTAAACACTGGATCCGAGCTCAGAGCAAGAGGCCTCTCCCTTTACAAGTCAAGGACCTCTGAACCTAAGGATCTTCATTTGTACAATCCTGACCTTTTCACAGGACTCTCTAGGCATCGAGGATATAGTAATGAACAAATGGACCCAAAGCCCTGCCTGCTGGAGTTTACTCCTCAGTATCATGAGGCCGTACAAGGTAAGGCATTTGAAAGCAATCTGAGATGCAGAAGGGGCTGTACAAACCCAGCCTCCGGGCCTAGAGGTAAAGGTGAAACCCAGCAAGGGTATAAAGGTGGCTTTGCGGGTCAAGCGAGCAACGAGGCGTGTGAACAGCACCACTGCTGAGAACTCCAGCACAGAACCTTCCCTCAGCCCACAAGCTGGTCGCAGGTATATGAGA